AGTATGTGAGTAGAGTTAGTAAGGTCTCAGGGTTGATGAAAACAATTCCTGGACTTGGTAGAGTATGTGAGTAGAGTTAGTAAGGTTTCTCCAGCTTTATTTAATTTGAGAAATTTTCTCTCTGTTCTCTGGTTAATTTCTTATCTCCACAAAACTTAACTTTTTTTTTCTTTTTTTCTTTTTTTAAGAGAAAAGGTGTATGATGTTGAAGTGATGGCTTACAACAATGTTAGCTACCAAAATGCTTCCCTGACCACTTTAGTAACCAAAGATKATTCTTGCCAACCTCCAACTGTACAGATTCTTAGATGGCAACAAACACTGGTACAGTACATCTTTCATTAATTAAACTAGACCTTGAGTTCCAAAGGCTCTCTGCTTCTGGTGTTTCTCTGTCAGTAATAGTAACTATTTGTGCTCAAAGCCATCTGTTGACCGACTGTTGGTCTTACATGTCAGTAATAATGCGCTAACGACTCACCAACATCAGATCATAAGTTTTTCAACTGTTGGTGTACATCTCTCTGGATCAAGGCTGAAAAATAGCCAACTGTTATTTCCTGGACAAACGGGCAACAAATAGTCGACAAACAGTCAACAAACAGTCAACAGCTGACCAACAGTCTGTCAACAGATGGTTTGGGGTGCTAATAGTTACTACTACCTTCTCCATCATAGGTTTCTTCATCTCTCACAATTCTGAAACTTATGACTTAAAAGCACTGGGGACATATAGCCTTTAAATCCTGGTACCCATGATTACCAGTATAATGAAACTAGAGTTTTCACTGAGAAATTGCAAGAGGTTCCAATGTCCCATATTCGAGTGAAATTTTGTGAGTGGTTTCTAATGAAATGCTAAACAGGGATGGAATACTGCACTCCTTTGATAGTATGCATGCTGAAATAATTAACTATAACTTTAGTGCCATGTCAAGAATCATTGCACACAATTAAATACAGTTAGAAAGCATATTCTTTGAAAGCTGTACTTATTCTAATTTGTTAAATTTTCTTTGTTCTTTCAATCCAAGGTAAATAGGTTTGAAGAGGTGTATTTTGAGAGTGAGGTGACTCTTGACTGCGATTCCGCAAATAAAGCTGTTGTTTACCAATGGGAGGCAAGTTATTATTATTTTCTGGCAAGACTAAGAATAATTGGATACTCCATCAGTTGTCTAACTCAATAGCATCTATTAAGTGCTCAATGCAAACACTTTAGACTAATTTAATCACTGCCCATCTTGGATCGCAAGGTATTGRTATCTAGGGGGCAAATAAAGATGATTGTTACAACAATGGCATTATTAAAATTACAGCTACTACAAGAGAATGCAATGTAGTGTATTCCATCAATGAGCTAATCACTTAACATCTCATTGGATGGAAAATGTAAATTGGTACATCATTTTCGTGTCATGATTATCAAGTTAATCTATTCTAAACATACAGTTACAAACATTTAAATGTTTTAATTCATCTTTAAGTTTAATGTCATTCAGTTATAATGTGGGTCATTGAACATTGTTAATTACCTATTCATCAGTATGTTTTTATATTTGTATTTATTTTTATTTTAAAGATTTATGAGACCTCAAATATGAAGAAACTTAACAACATTACATCATATCTGAATGAACCAACTCTAATCATTCCTTCTTTCACCTTGCCTTATGGAAAGTATGCTGTAAAGCTCAGGGTTAGTATTGCTATTTTTACCCAGTAAAGCTGTAGACACATCACATGCACAAAAGTATGACCACATTTTAATGTATGCACATACTTCTATGTATGGGTTCTGTACGTTAAACAGACACTGACTGTCCAAGTTACACGCACGGACACAGTGACAAACTACTGGCTTTACTGTGCTAATTCTAAGAAGTTGCTTTTGTAATTTAAGGTTCATAAAGAAGGTACACCAGGTCTCTACTCCAAAGCTGTTGTGGAAATAACTGTAGAAAAGATGGGCTTGGTGGCAAATATTAAAGAAGGATCTATGAGAGTTGTTGGTTATCAAAACAAGCAGAACGTTACTCTAGATGGCAGTAGTTCATTTGATCCAGATTACCCTGAAGAGAAAGACAAATTGAGGTATGAATTAAACTACAATTATTTCACCTTTAATAATAATATCCATAATATCTGTTTTGATAACTTTGCATGGTCCATAATAACTGTATGCTAATTTTTTACCTGAGTAAATATATTTGGATTAATCCCATGCCACAGCTAGGACCTTACGAAGTTGTTTTACTCAGTCAAGTTGTTTTGCTCAATCAAGTTGTTTTACTCAATCTTGACAATCTAGCTATATCTTTTCATAATATAATTGTGGACATAATTTTCGTTAGTATCTTTTTTAGTATTCTAATTAATTTTCCTACATTATAATTGCCATAGCTTTAAATGGGCCTGTCATTTACTAAGTGACAATGAGACCAAGTGTTTCGATCCAAGATTCAGCCTCTCTTTAAATAACTCGACCCTGACATTTCCTGTACAATGGCTACTACCAGGYGAGAGTGGCTTTTTTGTTGTCCTCACTGTCAGCAAACATGGCCAATTAAGCAAGACTGCATGGCAAATTATTAGGATGGTTGATGCTGAACCTCATTTGTAAGTATTAAGATAGGGGACCTTTTGTAGTGATAAAATGCCCCACTCCTGATTAACCTATGATTAACTTTTGAGTTTTTTTCGCAATGAGAAGCACTATTTGACTTGTTTGCAAGGATGCACCCCTGTCAGAGTTACAGCATTAACTTTCACTTCATAACGTATCCACCATGACCTCCTGAACCAACATGAGCAGCATGGTTCTGAGATAAAGGAAAATTCTGTCATTTTCAAATGACATTTCTTTTTCGATATGTTCARTTAATTTATTTTTATTTTTTTCTTATGTACTAGATTGACAGTCGATTGCCCACAGTGTCAGCAAGGATGGGTGAATCCGAGTGATCCACTAGTACTGCAAGGTTCCTGCCTAACATGCCCTTGGAATAATAAAAATCTCACTTTCCAATGGAATCTGTATTTGATAAGCAATGACGGTGCCCCACTTCCAGACCCAAAATGTGTGTCTACAGTAACAGAATTTGTCAACAAACAGCGTATGACAACTGCTGTCACTAAAAGACACACTGTGAAGCCACCAACAACAGGGTGGTATCCTTCTAGATACTTCACTGCATTTTCAACTCTTCCTTTTACTGGAAGAAAACCCACCGCTAATAATTACAAGACTAGTCGTCCAGATGAAGAGCTGGCCAAAAACCAGGGCTTCAAAGTAGATAAGGGTGAAATTTGTAGTGGTCCAATTACCATCGACCCTAAAGTGACACCAACAACAAGATGCAAGTTTGTTCCTAGGAATCCATCTTATGGTTTTGGGTTCAGCCATCACCCAACCACATCACCTGGGATCTGGATTTGCTCAACGACTACAGAACCATTTGGTAAGTTCCGATGTAGGACGTGTATGGGGAAAGTTCATCAAGAATAGCTAACGAGGCAGCATTTAACATGAAATACGAAATTGCTGGTGCAGCAGTATATGATAACAAACTAAGGGAATTAATTGCAGTGCAATTTTATTGGTAATTGGTATGTCAAATGAGGTTATCCTACATGAAACTCTTTTTATGTTTTTTAGCATGTCAATATTGAAGTTTGTGGATGGATCCAAAGGTCTCTCAAATAAAGGGAGATATCCTACATGAAACTTTATTCACATTTTTTAGCGTGTCATTTGATTTTTGTGGAGGGATGAAATACCTCGAATCAAGGGAGATATACTACATAAGATTCTATTCACATTCTTTAACATGTCAATTGATTTTTGTGGAGGGATGAAATACCTCGAATCAAGGGAAATTCCTACATGAATAGGAGCAGGCGTAGCTCAGTTGGTTAGTGCGCGAACTTCAGAGCTTGAGGTCACGGTTAGATCCTTAGGATCTCCACGTCTGTTTCGACTTCTCTCTAATCCTTTTAGCTTAAGCTTTGAATACTCTTAAAACAGAGCACGGATGGAGGGAGGGGGTAAAGTGCGCACCGTCGGCTTCCATTGATAGCAGTTGAATTTCAACTGAAGGAACTACCAACGTTAAATATAGGTACTTTACCTTTACCTTTTACATGAAACTCTATTCACATTTGATGGGTCTATTAATCAAACCTACTAATACAGCAAAGCTGAGAAGTAAATGCACTACTATATGTTCCGCCTTGAATGATCAAAACTGAAGATGATAAGAAAACACATTACTAGATGACATATTTCAGTTTCAGCCAAAATGATTTCACGTCAAACGTTTGTCCCCAGATCGCTTTAAAACACACTCCCGTGGCTTCGGATCAGGTACAGTTGCCTTTACCCGTCCTGCAGGATCTGCGACGGGACATCCACATTCCCCTGTTCCTACCATGAAAGGATACCCAACATCAAAGCCAGGCATTACCAGTCCAATGACACCAACAGCGCCCTCTGCTACTTCCTCCATTGGAATGTCTGATAGTCTCTACAAACCGGACTTTGTTGTCCCCACTGCACAACATAACCTTCAGATACTCTCGAAACACCGATTAGAGATATTATTCCCTGATTCCTGGTCAAAAACTGGGCGGATGGATCGAGATTTTGTACTATTACCAGGAAAACTTAAAGCAGAGTATACCTACATGCTAGCGTTGAATGTCAAAGATAATTTCAAGACAAACCAAGATCACAGGAGAGGAATGGCTAATGTGTTCTTTAAGGTTAATAAGAACCCAATTATAGGAAGCTGTAGTATTGGTCCAACGTCTGGGTATGAAATGGCAACCATCTTTGGGATTAATTGTAAACGTGGAATTGTTCAGGTATGTGAAGTTTCGTCCGTGCCTCACCCTTCCTGACCTACTCTGCTTTATGTTACACCTGTAACAACTGTTATCTAATTCACTTTTGATTATATCATAGGCTAAATTAAGTTATCAGGTTACTTGCAAGATCCAGGGTGATCAAGAAGATGAAAGCATGCTGCTATACACAGGATCTAACGAACACCCCACCTTTAGGTTACCGGCTGGAAAAAGAGAACACGGCTACAAAGGTATGCTTCGAGGATTCATTCATATAAATCAAACTTAAAGTTATGTGTACATTTTTTACATAACCCCTAGTTCAGTACTTTGAGTATGAATTCAAGTGAATGGTTTAATGGAAAATTCGAATTTCAGAACGTTTTCCTATAACTTGCCTTAAAACTTGCTAATGACTCRACAACGTTTTCAAACATTAAAGATGCCAGTAACTAGCTGTAAGTACATCCTGCATACCACGCCTCAGCTCTGCATATATCTCGGGGTATAACAAAGTGGAATTTCCGCTTTCAATGCCATTGAATTTTCACCATTTGAAGATCATATTTTTTTAGCTTTTCTTTCAAATTGTATATCATTGTATATCTTTTTTTCTCGTAATAATCAATTTTAAAATTCGCTATCGTTATTTCTTCTCTTTGTAGTTTCTGTCCTTATCTCAATGTTTAATTGCAAGCGAACCGCAGTGAAAGTCTGTCCTGTTGATGTAATTGTAAGGCCGTCCAAATACAGTCCTTCAAAAGATCTTTTGTGAGTAGTATACATTGAGAAATACGAAAAATATGTACGTATCAAAATATAAACATGAAGGATTTAAGAATGAAAAAAAGGAGTACGGTGAGAATTGTATGCGGAGCACTCAAAAACGGAAAATAAAATTATGCATAAAAAAATGAAAACTATGTTATGGTATGGAGCACTTGAAAACTAAGTTTAAAGGGATTTATTACATCCATTTTGAAATCACAAGCAAATCCTACAATCTGATTGGTTCCCTGCAGCAGTGATTTCAGCATAAATTGCACGATTTTGAGCTCTCGATTTTGCTATTTAATGTAAGTAAATGATTCTTATACAGTAATGATGAAAAGGTAAATTATACACC